AAGTGGCACAGGGAAAGATTCTGCAGAGATAGGGATGGGATTTTATCATAGTGTTTTGATGGACCGGGCGAGCCGGGTATGCCAGCTTAGCGCATATAATCACGGTCAAATACTGGACGTTTATGCTACAACAGAAGACGATCAAAGTAATAGATGTTTTTATTTCTGATATGTACATATCACCTACAACGAGTTTAAAAGTACACGGAGTAAAGTTAGTGAAAGATGTGCAGTGCTATACCCGAAACGTTGAAACCGTTGATGTAATACAAAATAAAACAAAATGAATTGGTATATTGATTACTGTAAGGCCGACTAATGACTATGAGGTGGTAAAAGATCATCGCCGTGAGAGAATTATGTCAAGCTATACTTGTCATACCAAGCTAGATGGGGATTATACAATGACCATGGAGATAAACTACAAAATAGTAAACAGCAAAAAATCGATTCTGTTCGAAGCTGTAGAAATGTAAAAATCAGATTCCTATGATAGTAGGGAGTCTTGGTACTTTGCTAATCATTTTACAGATATATACAGATATAGGTACATATCAAGCAAAAATCAATCGCAAAAACTTTCACAGAATTGTGAGCAATACGCTTTATAGGGATTTTTTCATGCGTGGACTTATTAAGGTATCACAAAATACAAAGGGCAAGGCACCAAAGCTGCCAATACTTAGAGAAGGAAGTACTGAAATGTCAAGACAAAAACCTATGACTTCTCTATATGTTCATTCAACAGAACTGTACACAGAGCTTGTTACCGAGTTGGTCAGCTTCAAGCCATTCACGGAATGGACGTAGTTTTATCGTAGCCGGCGCATTTGAGCGTCCACCAACAATGGACAGGCGGAACACTTGGAGTTGTTCTGGTGCGAAGATCATTGTGGCCGGTACATTGTAGACTGCTAACCGACGCATACGACGTAATTGCGGAACGGTACAGCGAAATGTGATCTGCAATACGGCATTCATCCTATAAAACCCACTGGATCGATTTTGCACGAACAAAAACTGGAACCTGAGCTCAGAGCATCAAAACACTTTATGATTATAGTATATAGATTAGTTCCAAAACATGCAACATCTTCCGACGTGCAGTTTGCATATGATTTTGTATTTTTATTTTACATTCTCTTTCTGAACATTTTCGATTTCTTCTACTGATTTTCGAGTTGTGCAAATATTTTGATTGTTAGGCAAGCTTTCTAGCTTTCCAGCAAGCACGAATTCTGGACCAAATAAATTTCATGGCAGCAAACGCATCAGAAGTATTCAGCAAATGAAGACGGAGAGAGGGAAAATCAGCGAAGATTTAGTTATTCGTTGGAATTCTCGAAAATGAGCAAATTACGCGAGTTTCTAATTTGTGAAATGATGAATGTAATCGCAATGTCCTTCCATTACAAATAAGCTTCCCTGTCCAATACTTCATGTATCTATGCAAAAAACGAAGACATACCTCTTTGGCTTTTGGAAATAGCGGTCCCAATGGAATACGTTGAGTTGTCGGATTCCATTGCGGTAAATCTCCATCAGACTGACTGAGATATGTGGACATATTGAATTTCGCGTCACTTTGAAGCCATCCTGGGGTCTAAAGTCACAGCAACATAGCTATTTTTCAATTTTGGAAGAAGAATTTGACAAACCTGAATGCCATCGGACTCCGGCATCGGATCTGTACCACCGGCTGCGGCTTGGAACGCAAACCATGCCGATATGTCTGTTGTACATTGTCCTGCCACACATAGTTCAGCTATCGACGAATCCAGCTGCGAAAAATTCAATAGATTATTGATCATGAGAAAATTGTAGCAGTTTTCTTACCATGATAGTATGAGCGTTTTTGCCAAAGAACT